GGTGATATTCATTCTGTAATATCACTCCACTGCTGGGTTGATTGATCAGATTCAGGAAGCACGTGATTTACCCACGAGATCCTTTCAATTCAGACTCTGCAGATAAAGGTATGACCATAATTTTTCATCCACTGTGTTTTACCTTTGATTTACAGTTTGCAATGTGGTTTGATTATGGTGTAGCTGAAGACCTTGATAGAAACTTAGATAGCAAGATAGAAAACCAGCATAGATATTCCATTATAAGGATGTGAAAACCCCCAAATAGAGATCAATAAGACTATAAGACACTCATAAAATGCAACATCAGTTTCTCTTAGGCATTTTCTCGAAAATAAACAGCTTCTGGTTTCAAAAACCTTTTTGTCTCTCAAGAGATTACTGAATCAATATTCAAAGATTTTGGTAAAAATACAATCGAGAACTCACACAAAAAAGACCTGAGCTTCAAAACCCCTTCAAAACAAAAAAAAAAAAAAAAAAAAAAAACAAACAAACAAACAAACAAACAAATTTTAACATGACAATGGCTTTAAAGCTAATAAAATTTATAAATCACATTATCACCAAAACAATGACAACAGGAAAAAAAAAAATATTAAACAATAATCTGCTTACCAAGAAAGAAATGAACACTGAAAGCGTTCTCAATTGCAATTTAACAGTGTAAACGCTATTCTTCACAAGTAAACTCGCTATTTGCAATAGCGTTTTCTTCACAAGTAAACTCGCTATTTGCAATAGCGTTTTCTTCACAAGTAAACTCGCTATTTGCAATAGCGTTTTCTTCACAAGTAAACTCGCTATTTGCAATAGCGTTTTCTTCACAAGTAAACTCGCTATTTGCAATAGCGTTTTCTTCACAAGTAAACTCGCTATTTGCAATAGCGTTTTCTTCACAAGTAAACTCGCTATTTGCAATAGCGTTTTCTTCACAAGTAAACTCGCTATTTGCAATAGCGTTTTCTTCACAAGTAAACTCGCTATTTGCAATAGCGTTTTCTTCACAAGTAAACTCGCTATTTGCAATAGCGTTTTCTTCACAAGTAAACTCGCTATTTGCAATAGCGTTTTCTTCACAAGTAAACTCGCTATTTGCAATAGCGTTTTCTTCACAAGTAAACTCGCTATTTGCAATAGCGTTTTCTTCACAAGTAAACTCGCTATTTGCAATAGCGTTTTCTTCACAAGTAAACTCGCTATTTGCAATAGCGTTTTCTTCACAAGTAAACTCGCTATTTGCAATAGCGTTTTCTTCACAAGTAAACTCGCTATTTGCAATAGCGTTTTCTTCACAAGTAAACTCGCTATTTGCAATAGCGTTTTCTTCACAAGTAAACTCGCTATTTGCAATAGCGTTTTCTTCACAAGTAAACTCGCTATTTGCAATAGCGTTTTCTTCACAAGTAAACTCGCTATTTGCAATAGCGTTTTCTTCACAAGTAAACTCGCTATTTGCAATAGCGTTTTCTTCACAAGTAAACTCGCTATTTGCAATAGCGTTTTCTTCACAAGTAAACTCGCTATTTGCAATAGCGTTTTCTTCACAAGTAAACTCGCTATTTGCAATAGCGTTTTCTTCACAAGTAAACTCGCTATTTGTAGTAGCGTTTTCTTTACAAAACCAATCCGCAAATAAAGCGCTATTCGGAATAGCGTTTTATACGGGGGAAAAAATTGAGGTTAAAATCGCTATTCGGAACAACGTTTTCTTAAGTAAAATCACGATTCACAATAGCACCTTCACTATTCATCAAATTTTGGCCTCCAAACAGTTAAAGCGCTATTTGTAATAGCGCTTTAGCTTAGTTTAGAAAATCCGTTAAAACTAGGCCTAGTTTGGAAAATAAGAGGCAAAAGAAGCTTAGTTTGGAAAAAGACACGAATATTATTCGCTGATGCTTTTCTTTTTCTTCTTTTCCAATAAATGCTACCATCGTTATTTTGTTACTCAATTGTACTTCTCCAAATGGCTATTTTGACAATTATGCTCTTACTTCATGATAACAATGATAAGCAAGGGATATGTATTTTTTTTTTTTTTAACAAAAAAAAATATTCTGAGGTGTCATCACAGCATTCGTGAGCTTAAGTTCCAGAATAACCAATTGCTAGCCTGATTTAACCCAACCCATAGAAAGGAACCAACCACCGAGACACTAGTAGAGCTCATAAACCACCCCCAATGAGACTACAATTCAATCAGAGTACAACGCGAGATCTCAAAAGAGAGCCACTGGAAAATCTAACATTTTGCGCCTCCAAAAGTTAAAATTGACTCATTGCTGTGAAAAGGCAATGCTTTCACCACTCGACCACCAACACTGGTGGTGGAAGGGATATCTACTGACAAACACCAATCTTGGTTGTATATAATGTCAATTTTTTTGAACTGGTTTGAAGTGAATGGTGCCCTTCTATACATTCTAACTCCAACTAAAAGTGATCAAATTTAAGATTCCCAACAGCCTATTTACAATCCACTTGCAACTAAAGCAAAATCTGATTAGCAATTACCCATAACTAACACGTGATTAACATTTCTTTTTCAATTGTAAAGCATCTTGTCACAGTGTCACTGTTAAATTAAAGGTACATTAGCAACCTGGTCCACAGAGCATGTTCTAAACTGAAATGAAAAAAAAAAGGAAAAAAAAAAAATTCTTAAACTAGTATATTTTCCCACTATAACAGTACTTCTTAGTGTATATCTGAACCAAAAAAGATCCACATCATTCAGGAAGCTTGAGTTTCTCGTTGTTCTTCCAGCTGAAGACACAATCAGTCAAATTTGTCAGTAAGGATTCAATGCCAAATCAGTTTCTGCTGTTATTTTTGCTTTTTTTAATAATTAAATATAGGCCACTTCATAGAAGAAAAAAGTTCACTATTTAATGGGGTAACAAATATGCAGTGTTAATTATTCTTCGAGGAGAACTTTCTTCTGAAAATCCAGTGGCAGTTGTGTTTCCAAGATTTACTGTTGTTCCATGAAAGAAAGACGTGCATTTTCATTCCTCTATGTTTTTACTCAGGAGATATTAAGTTAACACACCATTTGATTTGGTGGAAAATATTTTCTAATGGGGAAATGTTTGGTTGAATGTTTGAAACTAGTGTACTAATAGCTGTATCAGTGAAGGCGGCAGTGGAGGTGATTGTGTTGTGGAAGCGGTGGCGATAGTGATGGGGTCAAGGTGGTGGTGGCGTCAGTGGAGGTGGTGATGGCAGTGTGGTGGTTGAGGTAATGGTGGTAGGTGGCACCATTGGTTGGGTAAGACTAGAGTCCAGAAAACATTTTTCACCTTTCAAAAATGAAAATATTTTCTACCCAAATAGGCTTTTTTTTCCTTTGACCATCGAAAATGTTTTCGTTACTTTCGTTTTTCGTTGTACCAAATGCCAAAAAATATAGAAAATGTTTTTCAAAAAATGTTTTCCACCCAAAGCAATGGAGCGTAAATGGGGAGTATAAATAACAAGAAATTACCTCTTTATATAGTAATAGAAGAAGTCGGCATAAAGAGCAGTCTGAACCAAGCCAGATACCCAAGCTGCATTTGGGATTAAGCAATAATAAGTCTAGACGCTTCAAAAGTTGGGTGGAATGAAAATGAAAACCATTCAAGTAAAGATGGAAAAACTTACGGATCCAGCGGACTTGGTGATTCTCCGTAAAGAAACGATAGATCCAATTGATAATATATAATGCTCGGTAAGCACTACAAGAAAGGCAGAGGAAAGATCAGAGATACTCCTTCATTATATAAAACTCAAGGAAACTAAGTTATGTACAACAAAACAGCGTGAAAGCTAGTGCTGCTGGTTATAATTAGACTTCCAAATCAAATAATGATTTTGCATTCCCAAATAACTTCCTAAGTTGCCCTATTTTCTTTTCTGAAAGATTCATTGTAAATATGGGAGGTATCCTACTTGTAAACTTGATTCACAGGGAGAAGAAAAAGAAAAAAATTGGAATATGAAATATAATAAATCCAACAAATTTAAAATATATTTTTCTTTCACAGTATTAGAAAGGTCCACTCTCAAACATGACTTGATCTAGCTGACACCTTTGTTTGCTGGAGACTTTGTTATGATATCATGTATATTCTTCTTAACCTCACAAGTCGCAACCAAAATATTCATAGGATATGGCTACACCGAAGTTTGCCCTCCTTCTACCTTTTTTGGCCATTATCTTTTCCCCCTTTTAAAGGCACCTTCTTGCTGGATATTATAAGGATCGTTCCCCCTGATCTCATGCCCATGTTTTGAAACTTCAACCTCTATCATATAATGTTTTGATATGATAAGAGTGTCTCACTCACAGTCAACCAAACACAATTAGCTACTTATGGTTGAGGAAGTAACAATATTAAAAATATTAGCCATAATGTTTCTTATACTGATTTTTTTAATGGGCCACCCACTCTCAATGTTTTGACACAATCAAGTCAGAATCTACTCCGAACAATAAGGCCTAAAAGCCAAAAAGTTACTAAAAAAATCAAAAAGACTATAACCTATACCAAAAAGTCAAAGATTCCATTTTTTCTCGACTTTTTGCATATCTTTTCGTAAAAAACTAAAAAGTTATTCCAAACATACTAGTTTTTTTTACCTCATATTTTAGCCAAAAAGTTACTAAAATATCATGTTCCCAAACGAGGCCTAAATATTACCCAAAAAAACTCCTCTCTTGCAGTTATTTTCCCTTCCAGATTAAATATACCCAGAGAAAGATCATCAAAGCCTTGTCATAGGGAGTGAAGGGAAAAATGCAAAGTTACCAGACATAGCAAAGGAAACAGGTGAAGGCCATGTGTGATTGCATTTATAAGTCAACTTATTTAGCTTATTTGCTTTTACAAAATTAACTATTTGTGTTAGGTTGCAATTTTAAATTATTACTTATTTGACTTTTTCAGCTTATTTGACCATAAAGAGTGGAATTTTTTTCAGAATTTGTAGCTTTTTTTCAGCAAATTTGAAACCCTTAAATATGTATGGGCAAAAGAACCCCATCTCTGTCATAATTATAACTTTTACAACAAAAAAACTATGTGATTTAACCAAATAGGCTCAATTTTTTTCACGTATTATCAAAAGCTACAACAATCAGATTTACAACTTAAAAGTTTTTTAAGCTAACAATCTAAAAAGCTAACTCATAAGTGATACAAAACAGGCACAAAATATCAGCTTATTTCCTTAAAATTCTCTGAGCATTCCTGGATTCTTGAACCACAACATAAACAACCAGACCAAGAGATATGAAGTAATACAGCTTCAATCAGTAAGAATGGCATACCCAAGAAGAAAAATGTAGTTTCCAGTCAAGTTGTCAATGTTCCTCGAATGTTGCAATAGTACCAACTGTGGCAAGATTGCTACCACTTCAAGATATAATGAAAATGTCCAGAGAACCTATAACAATGTCAGGTATACATCATAGTAGCAGCTGTAATCACAATTCAGTGGATTTTCTAGACATAGAAGCATAATAATAATTCAACCAAAAATGAATAATTATTGATTATGAGGGAGTAAAAAGAAGGAATAAGAAAATGTTTGTGCCACTTTGGTACTTCGGAGACTGGAAAATGTTGACAACATGCATATAAATAAATAAATAAATAATTGCTTCTAATATCAGCCGGTAACAGTGAGTTGTACATTGAGAGAGGAAATAGCAAAAAAAGAGACCTGTCTTTAAAGATTAAACCCAACTTTATATAGGATTTTGTAGAAAAGGTTCTCACTTAACATGGCTGTCGTGGCCTCAAAGGGTCAAGGATCACACTCAATATAGATGAACATTTAAGTAATTCTGTACTCAAATTCGTAACAGCATAAGGATTTCTGTACATCTTCAGTGGTCATTGAACTTTTACTGGATCTTCTTAAATTTAAAATATATTTTTGACAGTGGCTGCTTGCTGACTATAATTTTTTATTTGTAACTTCAGTAAAAAGTACAGATTATAAACTTTTGGAGAGCCTTTCTGAGAACAGACATATATGGTCTCCAAACTGATGCTCACATGAGTTTGATTATGGTAATTCTGTATCTTATTCTAACCAATCAAAAACAAAACAAAAAAAGAAAACTCACAAGTTATTTTTCTGAATTTGTCATTACTAAACAAGGCCCTTATAGCATTGGAATATGAAATAAAATAAATCCAACAAATTTAAAATATATTTTTCTTTCACAGTATTAGAAAGGTCCACTCTCAAACATGACTTGATCTAGCTGACACCTTTGTTTGCTGGAGACTTTGTTATGATATCATGTATATTCTTCTTAACCTCACAAGTCGCAACCAAAATATTCATAGGATATGGCTACACCGAAGTTTGCCCTCCTTCTACCTTTTTTGGCCATTATCTTTTCCCCCTTTTAAAGGCACCTTCTTGCTGGATATTATAAGGATCGTTCCCCCTGATCTCATGCCCATGTTTTGAAACTTCAACCTCTATCATATAATGTTTTGATATGATAAGAGTGTCTCACAGTCAACCAAACACAATTAGCTACTTATGGTTGAGGAAGTAACAATATTAAAAATAGAACCCGTAGTAGACGCTACGAGCCCAACAATATACTCTAATCTACACAATGAACTAGAAAGAAGTATCCCCCTTTTCAAAAAAATATATGATTAATCCCACATTTGTAACACAATTATATTTAACTCCTTTTAATAAGGTTAAAGTGACTAAAATTAATGTAAATGGTAAAAAAACACTGAAATAAAAAAATATAAATATAACCAACTAGGCTCAGCCTAGTTGGCTATCATAACTCTCTTAAGAATTTAGTCCCAATGAGATGGTTATGAGTTCAACTCTTTGTTTTTTTTTTATCAGCAAAGAAAAATTTCATTAATTAACATGAAATTAAAGGTACAGGAAAATGAAATGCACTGAGAGAGATTCGAAAGTACAAAATACCCCTACTACTGCTACTCGCAACCATATAACCAACCCCTCGGCCTCACGAATTTTTTTTTTAAACAAAAAAAGTTAAGGACTTAACAGAAAATAAAATACATGATTTCTCACAAAATCAACCCACCAAAACACCCAAACTGCTAAAATAATCAATTCTAACACCCAAGCTGGTAAAATAATCAATTAACATGATTACCCACACTACTCAAGACCCACGCCACCCACGCCTACTCTGCGGCCCACACCCACGCCTTCTCTAGAGCCAACCACCCGCCTGAACACAACGTATTCACCACACCAAGACCCACACCTAAGCTGCTGCACTCCCAAGGCTACACAACGCCTATGCTGCTGCACTCCCGAGGCCACACCACCGGAAAACACCATAGCCAACAGCTCACCTGAACACCCATCAACCAACAGCTCACAGCTCCAAACACCATAGCCAACAGCTCACCGGACATTGCAACTCCAAACTCCAACCTCCAAACTCCAAAACTCCACCCACCTGCAACTCCACTGCTGAACTTGACATTGCAACTCCATCACTTGTTGCCGAAGACAAATCATCATCCACTGCCACCGCTAACTCTTTCGCTACAGCTCGACACACCGACCATCACCCACACCCACACCTACTGCAGCTCCACACACCAACTAAAACACCAAAACACCGACCAACCGCTGGGACATCTCCATTCATCTAAAAGAAGATCACCACTCAAACTCTCACCCGAAGAGGAATGCTCGAATGAAAACCAAACAAATCTAGATCGACTTCGACACCCATGTTTCCGCCCAAACAAAGCATCGATACTTCTCCACCAACCTGAACCAGAGTTCACCCCTCAAGCTTTTTCTCTATTTACCTAATATACTCAGCATTTCCCAAAAATTCTTTACCATTCTCTGGGATAGGTTCATTATGCTTTTTCATTCTTCTAGTATAGCGAACACTAATTTAAAAAAAAAAAAGTTGAATTACGAATAAATCCCTTGTCATTTATAAATATATGTATATATATATAGATATGTAACTCTCTCACATTCTCAAAATTACATTCAATCTCTTGAAGTTTATATCTGCGTAATAAATTGCTCTATTCGTTAATCTACCATTTGGTCAACAAATGGAATCCGATGATATCAACAATTGTATTTTTAAATACTTTTTTTTTTTTTATATATATATAACCAAGAATATAATCTAATGTATTATTAATTAATTTACATTATAAGATGGTTAGCAAAAATTCAGTCAAGTTTTGTGACAACACTATTGTGCAACTAAACTAGACTTCTTCTAAATAATGTACAAGCCTCCCAAGCAATGCATTGCTTGAAAATAGCAAAAACAATGTCTAACCCTAATTCTAATCTCTCTCTCTCTCTCTCTCTCTCTCTCTCTTCCATCACCATCATCCCCATTGCCACATCATCTTCCTTATAACTCCATTCCTGAATGGAACTACCACCAGGACCTCACCATGGCACTACCACTCCACCAATCACCTTCCACCAGTGACCCTATATTCCTTCAGCCGGATCGAGGGAGAGTAGGGCTGGGGTGGTTTATTTTTTTGTTGAATAGAAAGTATTATTTTATTAAGGTTAGTAAGACATTACCAAAACGAAACAACACAATAAAAGACTAATAATAATGAGCATGTTTGAGAGTTTGCAAAAAGCAAGTACCCCCTCCGAGTTCATGTCTAGATAAGGCTGCCCCTAGTGAGTATGCTAATCTTTCAGACATTCGGTGAAGAGTGGCGATCCATCGTTGGGCTCCATATGCTAAACCACCACATACTAAATCTCTATAGAGACGATGAGTTTGGGATTTATCATCCACTTCCACGTGTTCCACCCATGTAACCTAACAATATAAGAGGGAATATAGATTAGAAATCAATAACATGCTATTTATGGCCAGGGATAATTATCTATTTCGAATCTCTTTTTTTGTCTCTTTATTCTACTAGCACTGACCTCGCAACATCCATTAGGCTTATCTTGAAGCATGCAACCGGAAGGAAGCCTCCATGATCGTGGAGGCGAACCACGAGGGTCTAGGTCTTTTGATAATTTGGAGCAATCATATTCATATGATACATCAACCATCATCCACACACTTGCCTCCACTTCTCTACAGTATCGGAGGAAGTAGAATTCTCGAGGCGCCACAAGAGGTGATAATATATGCATTTGTTCGTACATCTGTATCAGTTAATTGTTATGAAGAACAAAAATTTCTTTATATATACATACATACATATATATATGTATAAATGGATGTTTAGTACTACTACTATCTACCAGCTGCAAAGATCCGGCTTGATCTCCCAACATTCTGGTATCAACTACTTCAATTGTCCTTGCTTTTGTAACTATTGTAGGAAAAAGATCCATCCATTTATTCTGCATAATTAAAGCATTTACTCACATAATGTATATATATATAGTAAGTCTGTAAGAAGAAAGAAAGCATGTGATATGCATGATAGATAAGAGAGGAGGGAGGGTGGGTTATGAGGGTGAAGCCAAACAAACCGAGTCTAGAAACATGTTGAGCAAGTGCACTGCACTCATTGGCACCACACCGGAATCTTTGGATGATTCCATCCGGGCAGTGGAACTCTTAAAGTGATTAGACCTTGGGAAAAGCTTGTTATAGCTGTCACGATGAAGAAGATATGATGATCTTCGGCTGTCACCATCATGGTCAACGGGGGAGGAGGACTTGATCCACACTGGTTCATTTACTCGCAAAAGCCTCATCAGTTCGCCCATGGCACTTACTGCTGTCTCAATCATGGCCATTTTTTCCATCTCAAATTTGTTGTTCCCATAATCGTTCATTAACGGGTATTGCATCTGTTGTTGCATTGTGGAATTATTGTTATTGTTTGAATTCCCAATATGGTCATCAAGTTGCTGAAACTGATGTTGAAGCTGATCAGTGGAATTAGAAGAAGACCCTCCCAATAGCCCTTGACTTGCTGAGAAACCTAATATATCTGTCTGCGATTGGAAGTCCATTGAGCACAATGATTGAATTTGCGCAACTGGTTTTCCCAGGATGTTGGCAATAAAGTGGGACATTCTTTCATACTGCAAAGCCAAAGCATACAACAACAATCAATAAAAACAGCAAGAAAAACAGCCGATCAAAAAAAAAAAAGCAATAAAAACATTTTAAGTTAACAATATGTGGAATTGAAGAATAAAAATTGTCCAAACCCTAATTTTTTTTTAGCAGCGAGTAAAGGGCAATATATTAATGCAAAAGTTACAACCACGACAATCATTCCAACCCTAAATAAACTTTGAAGGAACAGATAAACTAGCCTCTTGTTTTAAATGGGAATTTTGCATCTTCAGTTTTTGCACATTAAGTTGTCTTTCTTCTTCCCCAAAGGGTGGACCACCACAATTTGGGCATGTCACATTTTTGAGAGCCTCTCTGATTGCAAGGTTCTCACATTGGATTTTTTCATTCTCTACCTTAAGAGCATTGTTGTCAGCTCTCTCATTCTGGGCCTGAAAATTATTGAAAGATGAATCACCTCTATGTTAGAAATTTTGCTTAAAACACACATGCTCTTGCACGTAAGCAGAAGTTCAACAATAAAACGAGAACCTTTGTCTGAGTCCTCTTGTTCTGAAACCAAAACTTGATCTGCTTAGACTCAAGACCCAATTCCCTGCTCAGTTGACGCCGCTGATTGTCATCTGGATGTTGGCATTCCTTGAAGAACCTTCATCCCAAAAACCCATTAATTAACTATATATCATGATTCGCCGATCAAAAAACAAAATAGACTATATATCAAGATTCAAGAAATCAAGAGAGAAAGAGAAAAGCAAGAGGAAAGTAAGAGCCCATTCATAGATTTAAATAGATCAGGCCAATCACCAACAAGAAAACTATGTTGAATTGAAACAAACATTGGCCAAACAAATTCAAAACCAATGAATGCATCACCAAAGATCCATTTTAGAGAGTTTGCATCATAAAGTTGACGAAAAATGTACAACAGGACTGAGTAAATACTTGGCGGTCCTAGATTAATGATAAAATCATCCTTTGATGAATTCATTATCATTAACCATAGACACACAACACAAAGACATGGATGAAAAAAAAAATTAATTAATTAATTAAATGCAAAACCCTGAACGTGATACCAAATAGAGAAAGAGAAAAAAATAAAATAAAAACCACCATAAAGACAGACCAATGATAATCAATCCAAGGCCCTAGAGTCATAAAATTCATACCAATCATTTCAAGAAAAACCAGAGATTCCAAGGTGGCCATGGACATGAAACCTAAACAAACTCTTCAAAAAACAAAAAGGATCTTACGCCTCAAGCTGTTGTGTCTGGTAGGCAGTGTGGCGATAATAGTGTTTCTTGTTTTTGCGAGAACTGGAGCCTGCCTCTTGTTCATCTCCAGACCCAGTACCATTATTACTTCCATAACCAAAATCCATCATTTTCCTTTAACTTTCTCTCTCCTGGTTCAGACAAGAATATGGGTTGGTTAACTTAATCACCCAGCCTCATGTATGTATATATATATCATTCTCACTACTTCGTAACGTAAGAGTTGAAACAAGAGTAGCCCACTGTATTTAACCTGGTTTTTGACATCGTATCCACACCAAGATGTACATTGTCTGTCTGTCTTTATAGAATTTCCACAAAAGGACAATTTAATCTCATTTACAAGCAGGAACCAACCAATCCCATTAAATTAGCCACATTAAAGACAATATTTCTCCTTCAAAAAAAAAAAAAGAAAGATAATATTTGGTTTTTCTTTTAATTAAAAAAAAAAAAAAAAGGTCATGTGTTAGGAGTTGACACTCTGACTAACGCAACATCCCAAAAATCTTAATGTGAACACGGATTTGCTACATATAAAGAAGCAACCAAATATGTCAAAATATTAAATTCCAATTTTCATTTATTTATTTATTTATTTTGAGCAAAATTTAGTTGGATTTTCTATGTTAAAAAAATAAGGTAAATTATAAACACACCTTGAGGTTTGTTTAAAAAAATATATTGTAACTTATAATTTTGGAAATTATATCTCGTCCCTTTAAATTTTTAATCGCATAGCAAATGACTCATTTTATTAATAAATTATTAAGTCAATTAATAGTTTTTAATTATGTCATAAATATATTTTAATTAATAATTTAGATAATTTTATTGTTGTATAAAAGAATGGTTAGGAATTTTATTTTTTGTTTTAATTTTGTTAAATAAAAAAAGATACTTGTAATTTCTAAAATTACAAAAAATAATTTATATTTTAATCAAATTTCATAAGTATTTTTATAATTTATCCCAAAAAAAAGCCAAATATGCTAAAGATTAAAAATGATAATCAGTCTGACAGATGGGTTTTCACTTGCCAAATTAGTAGATAACGCTTGGATAACAGAATACACAAGTCCTCTCTCTCTCTCTCTCTCTCTCTCTCTCTCTCTCTCCATACAGGATGTCCCATTTCACCAAGGATCCTCTAGAGTATTTTTTTCTTAAAGTTTCTTAAAGTGGTGTATTGTGTGGTTGAGATTTAATGCTGAAAAATTGATGTGGCTTGTCATTAAATCTCAACCACACAATGCACCACTCTAGAAAACTTTAGAAAAAAAAAACTCTAGAGAATCCTTCCTCGTCCCATTTAGTTCGCAAACTATTAAAATATGTGAACGAATATAAATTTGATTTTAGAATAATTGAATTTACCATTTAATAAGGTCATGTGCGGTTCACAATTTAAGCATAATTGCATTATGTATGTTGTTCACCAACTCTCAAAATGTATGAATAAATTCATTTTTCTATTTATCGAATGCATGGCCACAAGATTTAAAGGAGTTGGATTTCCTTTATTCCATGATCTAGATTGAAGGGTGTTGTCTAGAATAGTGGAACCCATCATGAGTTTTGTTTTGATATCTTAACTGTTCATTTTATAAAAAAAAAAAAAAAAAAAAATTTTTTTTTTAATAAAAAAAAAAAAAAAAAAAAAAAAAAAAAGAACGACAAGTGTATTTTCATTCATTTTTTGTGTGTGAAAAGCATGATAAATTGAATGAACTACAATTATTGGATTGATCTCTTCTTTTGTGAATGATATACATGAAAAACTTTACAAAGTGGCGAATGATATGCTTTGGTTTATTGCGTTTAGATTCTTTTATTTCTTTCTGCTATTTTGTTCCTTAGCTTTGGTCTCTATCTGTTGTGGGTCTGCTAGTTGAATTCTCCTCAACTAGCTTTTGGCAAGTGTAAGGCCTCGTTTGGGAACAGACTAATTTAGTAGCTTTTTGGCTATTTAGCTAAAAAGGTAGGTAAAAAAAAACTTCTATATTTGGGATGACTTTTTGGCTAATTACGAAAAGATGTGCAAAAAGTGGAGAGAAAAGAGAATCTTTGACTTTTTGTATGAGTTGTTGGCTTTTTGGCTAATTTAGTAACTTTTGGCTAATTGGCTAAAAAAGTAAGTCCCCAAACGGGGCCTAAGCACATGATTGGGTGACTTTTCCTATGTCAACCTAGCTGGGATGGATATGACTCACTATGATACTATTAACATTGCTTTTGTCTATTTTTATTGATGTAAGATGTAAATGATTTATCCTTGGTTCTGATTTAATAACATTTATTTTTGCTGATAAAAAAAATTTAAAAAAAAAGACATGACAGACAACAACCTAATTGGAATATGTCTTAAGCAATTATGTTTATATCCCAATCCTTTTCTATTGATTTAATCTTGTTGTTATGCTTGTACTCACTACAAGAATTTACACATTTGCCGACCACTTTTGCCGATCAAAAAAATTTTAGTCGCAAAAAAAATGACATTTGCCGACCAAAATATTAATTAGTCGTAAATGATAATTATTTTTGGCGACCAAAATAAGTTGGTCGCAGAAGGTCACATTTTGGCGACCAAAAATGAGTTAGTCACAAAAATTGGTATGCTTTTGGCGACCAACTTCAAATTTAGTCGCGGAAGGTTACATTTTGGCGACCAAAAAAAATTAGTCGCCAAATTAGTACTTTTAGCGACTAATATTTTAGTCACCGTTGATTGAGATTTGGCGACTAAAAAAATTTGTCGGCAAAGGTACCTTTTCTGCGACTAATTTGGTCATTTGGTCACGAAAAGTTTGGGAGGGAAATTTGAAACGTGGAGAGGGAAAATGAAAATTTTTTGCGACAAAAAAAAATTTGGTCGCCATTTATAAAATGACGTCGTTTTGTATCCACTCTCCCTAAAAATTTGGTCGCCATTTATAAAATTTGGTCGCCTTTTCTAAGTGTTGCCATTTATGAACCCTAAACCGCTGCCCCCTTCCAACTCTCTCTCTCTCTTTCTCTCTCTCTCTCTGTCTCTAATGGAGAATGGGGACGAGTGGTTGGTCCCCGAATAAGCTACAACACATTCTCTTCTGTTTCTCCATCACCATTATTTTCTCTCTCCTCGCTTCCCTAACTCGCTATTCCTTTCTCTGCCGCCGGACCATCTGGTTCGGATCCATCATCTCCCTTTCCGCCGGCGCCGCCAAAGAGGTCGCCGACGAGCTTAGCTTCTTCAAGTCGGTCGGAGCCTCCACCAAAGAAGTCCTCTCTCTCTCTCTCTCTCTATCTCTCTCTCTCCATACAGGATGTCCCATTTCACCAAGGATCCTCTAGAGTATTTTTTTCTTAAAGTTTCTGCGATTGAGCATTTTGGAGTGATCAGGTTAGTCTGTATACAGTTGTCTGTTTGGTTTATGAGAAGATGATATACAAACAGAATTTTCTTACAAAAGTGAAGATTTGAAACTTGAAATAGGATCTATTGAATTTAAATACATAATAGGAACAACTCATTACTTATATCAGTTTGTTTTTAAATTTGTTTGTACAGCATTACTCCCCAAAAAAAAATGAACCTTGGAATTGCTATTGGATTCAAAATTTTCATTTTTCAGATTACATCAGTTTGTTTAGTAAGTTTGTCTATTGATTTAGAAATTAGCTTGGGGTTTTGCATATTCTCTTCAACTTATTCTACTATTTATAAATAAGTTCACTGGTTTTGAAATCAAATTACTCTAAAGAAAGAATTTTAAAAGAAAAATCACAAAGGAAATGAGCAAAACTTAATGTGGTTGAAAAAATAATCTGATAGAATTAATTCATATATATTGTCTGGTGATTGCAGCAGGCAAGCGATGGAAAAATATCTAAGAAGCTGGTTAATCGGCTAATGAGTATTCTTGGTCACATGATGCAGTTTAGGACATTAAAGGTATCTCTTTTGAATGAGAATAATTTATTAATAACTGTTGCTTCATTTTCTTGTTGATGTTAACTCGCTCCCAAGGTTAGTTTATTTAGCTGGGTGAAGGCTTGGGTAGTGTTCATGATAGTTAGCATGAAGAAAATAGGGAGTTTCTTTGAAAATCTGTTAGGATGGTTCCTATTATTATTTTTAAAATTATTTGTAGTACTAAACAAGCTTTGCACAGTTGGGGTTATACATGGTCATTCCCTTAATTTGGGATGGGCCATAGTGTGGTTCATATGTATTTGTGGTGTACTTTTAATTAATCTTTTTTCGATGAACTACCAACAGAACGACCATGAAAATGAATGAATTAAAGTGCTTGTTTTACGCATTTTTCTATCTTTAAACTTTTTTTTTTGGTTCCATATTTGAAATGGCCTCTCTTGAGCTCCTAAGTTGCACATACACTATTAAGAATGTGGCATGTCCGTGTTGGACACTACTCGACACATGTAGAGCACATATCCTAACTTTTCCTATTATTATTTTTAAAATTATTTGTAGTACAGAACAAGCCTTGCTTAGTTGGGGCTATACATGGTCATTCCCTTAATTTGGGACGGTTCATAGTGTGGTTCATATATATTTGCGTTGTACTTTTGATTAATTTTTTTCTTGCCTTCTTCATTTTGCCCGTCTTCGGATACTGTAGCTTTTGTCAATAGAATATGGCCTAATGGTGCATCCTGGGGTATTCTGTTGGTAGTTCATTGAGTTCCTTAGCTTCTTGCATTAGGGGTGTACATGGATTAGTTTGGTTCGATTTTGAGGAAAACCAGGAACTGCACACCAATCTGTTAGCAATAAACCACATGTCTAAACGATTGACTACTTATTTTGAAAAAAAAAAAAATAGACCTGGACACTAGACTGTTTTTAGAAAGAAAAAGACCAGTTCAGACCGGATTATAGATTAGTCGGTTTTTGTTTAACAGCTCTATCTTGCTTTGTTTGGTCATGTAATTTTTGTTGGTAAGAATATGTAAATGAAATTCGTAATTGAATTGTGGTGCCTTGAATCCCATTCTCAATGCTCTCTCTCTGGTTTCTATTTTATGTCTCCTTTCATTATGTCGTTTATTTTGTTTTGTTTTGTTTTTTTTTAAACAGTTGAAGGACTTTGAGAAAGCTGTAATTTTTCCTTTATCAGATGTTTGCTTCGGACCTTGTACAGATGAGCTCACCGAAGTGATTAAGATTGCTAATCATGAGAGAAGAATGCAAGGTGAACGTTTCATTAGTGTGAAGCATATTTTGTTTGGCCTTTCACTTTCAAGAGTTGGTGAATGTGTCGAGAGGATCCTCAATGACAGGGGGCTAAATTGTTTGGGTGGATTTCCTTCGAAGCTCTCTTCGTTTAGCATTTACAAGTTATCGCGCGATGCAGCTACCATTCTTGGTTAGATCTCTATTTTTGTAATGATCTCAACATCCCATCGAATTTACTCTTTATAAAGTTATGTTGCAGGTGAATATTATGAATCTTTTTATTTTAAATGGAGGTAAATTTGGTTGCTCTGAAAATTTTAAGGCATTAAATGGTCTCTCCTAAATCTAGTTCCTTCTTAATGTTGCTTCGGATTTAGTTGAGGAAACTGGATTTGTCCGGTGGGCGGATGAAGTAGGTTTATGCATATTCATGTTCCCCCCTCCCTCACACCTGAGCATATATTGCAGGTGATAAGGATGTAGGACTTGAGCACTTGGTCCTGGCAATTTTCTTTGGAAAGCAAGAAAGCAATCGTACAGGGACGGTGAGTTTATATTTATTTGATCCTTTTTGTTAGATCATCCTATCTACTTATTTATGGATAACTGACCAAAAACGAAATGCCCACTGGCAAATGGCATATTTTGCTTGGCAACATGGGGTCTCGAGCTTCTTATTATGTTAATTAATAGTAACTTTTCCATAATTATTATTATATTTGTCTTGAAGGCTGCACAGGATGATTGCACTTCTTTGTTCTTGGACGAGGACAAATGGGATGATGAGCTTTTGAAATGTGAGGAGCAAATACCCATTCAGTGTTTATATATGATATACACAACTCTTTAGATATTTAATACATATATATATATATATATATCTCTATAAACAGAGTTTTATTCAATAGACTTCTTGTGCTCATTTTTGCTTTTTGCAATCTTCACTGTCCCCAGGTTTAAGAAATAGTAACACAGAATGTGGTGTAGAAAGCTTCGACGACAGTGATGCTTTCAAATCATTGCTACCCGAAGATTGTTTGGATGCTGCTGGTAGACCGTAATCATGTGGCTTTTTCATCATGGAAGAGCTGCACAAGACTTTCGAGTGTGGCTTGAAGTTGAATGCTATTCGTGAGTAGAATTATTACATTTCCTTCTGTGCGCTGGTCTGCTTCCATATCATATGGTAGTATTTGTTTATTTGCTGTTTGATACATTATGAATGCCCTTGTGAACATGGCTGGAAGTTTATTATTACTTTCAAGATAGGGGATATGTATTGCAAGTGATGCCCCGTGTTTGATTTATTTGTTTGTTTATTTTTTTAATGGCCTGGACTTTCCAGAAGATTTTGTTAAATATTAGGCAATTAAAACTTTATCTACCCTGTTAAAGTTGGTTTCTCAAAGAATTATCTATAATTAGAGATTAGTAAGTTTTATGCAGCTCTGTTCTTGTAAACCGCTTATCAGGGGAAATTCCTATGGGACTGTAAAATATTTCCACTCTCACATACTTGTATGTTTTCCAATTTTTGCTTATCAATTTTCTTTCTGAAGAGTAATGTGATAATTGAAGTTTGAAACCATTGAGAACTGAAACTGGACCAAGCATGCCTTTTATCTCATTTTATGTGTTTTTATTTTTCTTAATCTTAACAACATGGTATATATTTACATCCCAACGATAGTGGCATCATTTTTGCTTACGTATTTTTAAGAAACTGTAGTAGTGATTTTATTTATTTATTATAATTTTTTTTCTTTTACCAATCTCAATGGATATTTTGATCCAGGAGTCTTGAAGCAAATCAATTTTCTGGCAGTGTTCCTCCTGAACTCGGGAAACTAAGTAACTTGACAACTTTGTAAGACATGTCATTCCTTTGGAGCTCTTGTAGATTTAATTATTTCTTTGTTTTTGTTATTAAGACTATATTAGGTTTCTTTAACTGTTTGTGCGTCCGTGAAAGCATGTATTAATATGTACCATGTGGAACTCAATTTTTATTTTTTTACGACAGGGAGGAGGTTTTTCAAGTTGGATGAAATCCATAGAATGAGACCATATTAGCTTCTTGTTGTCTTGGGAGGAGGCTTATGGTGTGGGATCTTCGCAGGTTTGCCTTGGACCACTAGTATTTGTTGCTACAGTGTAAATATTTATATTACTCTATTTTAATCTATCTTTTTGTTGTGGAGATAAGTAACACACACAAACACACGAGCATGTCACAGCTGGTATTGAAACCTAGGCATCTTTCTTTGGAAGTGGTAGGAGATACCACTTACTGTCAGTTTAATCAAATGATTTGGTGAGAATACAAAAAGAAGGAGAAGAAAGAACTAAATCTCAAAAGCGAGTTGCTTGCATATGCAATGGACTAGATACTAATCTTACATCCAAATATTCTTTCACACTTTGGCTTGTTAGAAATAAAGATTCTATTCATAAGAAGATGAGTATCACCTGGATTTAACATCAACATAGCTAGGATTTAAAATTAAAAAAACTAGCAACAACATCACACTATATAACAGGGCTTGAACTCAGGACTTTTTTCTTTTTTTTTTTAGGGTTCAAACTCAGGTCTGTTATTTGGGATGGCCCCGCAGGCTATTGGAGATGTCTCCTCCGGAACACCATAGCTAGGTTTTTAAAGCCAACACTTCATCATTGTATTAAATCAATCAAGTTTTGTTTAAACTAAACTAAGTTTTAATGAGGGTAAGAATGCTTTAGAACAAGTTGTTTGATAACAATTCCCTAATACCAGCCATCCTCACAGCTACCTTCCAATGATCAAAACAAACCAATTAAACTCAAACCTGAATTTGAAACTCCAAGCATACAGGCCATCCATATCATCCATGCTGATAACAAATGCTTCCTTCTCCTGTAGGATGGGAAGGTAATCCTCAGCTGCTTTCTGAAATCAAGTTGTCCCATATACCAAAAGGAATTAGCGGTAGATAATTAGTTCAGCACCAAGCTAATATGTTTACATGACAAATTGCATCATGAAATATTAATAAATTGAAAACTACAATGGAAATTGCAATTCAAGTGATTCTCTATGCTACCAATGGGCTTAATAATATAATTTCATATTAGAAAAGATAAATTACAAACCTTTGGGACTATCATTCTCCTAAGGGAGCCTACATCACTTGTCTGAAGCTCCTTCTAAAAAAGAAACCTCAACCTTGTTTGGTCGATTGCCTAAAAGCACAAAGCTATTAGAGAGTCGCCAAATTAAACAAGTAAAGCATCAATTGAAATATAATTAATGCTGAAAGAAACATTGAACTACAGAAAAAAATCTGTGAAAGGACATAATAAAGACACTTCACCGGTAATGACATACATCTAACAATTCCCAAAATGGTAGCCCAAATATTCTTCAACATATAGCATGTCAATGAATCTCATATGGTAAAAAAAATATACCCATTATAGCACATGTAATGTTCTCACCAGAATTAGTGCCGGTATTGTTCATCAACCACTATTTATCTTCACATTTCTTACATAGAAACATGATAAAAAGTAGCAGTTCACAATTCTAACAGTTCTTGTTTGAATGCAGATAATTAGTTGTTTAAGATTAATGGCGGTTGTTGTTGGTCACCATAATTTAATTGGTAAAAATTAGCACCCACTCTTATCTAACTGCCAGAACTAATTGCTGGAGGTTATCTATGTTTCTATCTGACCACTGCTGATTAAATGTTTTTGATTAAGAGCTGCTGCTAATTTATTTTTGAGGCTAGTGGTGGTTGTCCTGGCTACTGCTTATAGCAGTCCCTTACTAGATATATATATATATATATATTTTTGAACTTATGATAAGCCTATCATCACATGTATGCATATTCTGTAGTCAACAGATCTCTCTCTCTCTCTCTCTCAGTGTGTTTGAACGTGCAAGATCACTAATTGATTTACTTTGATCTGTTTGTTACCCTTGCAGACCAATGAACTGTATCAATTGGCAGCAGTTGCATTCTGCCTACTTGTAGCATGGGCTTGTTTTTTTCCTAATCTCTCTAGATCTTTACATCCATATTGTTATGCTTACATATCATACCAACTTATTTGCATACTATCATGGTGGAACTCTTTTTTTGGCTTAATAATTTTCTTTCGATTTTTATTTTTTGTTACATTTGTATGTACGAAGTTTGCATGTATGAATTTCAAGCATCTCTGTTTTACATGTTTGTGTAATTTCAGTGTAGTGATAAGCTTGGTCTACGCTTAGAGCTGGGTTCCTTTGCTGCTGGAGTGATGATATCAACTGATCTTGCTCAGCATACACTCAAACAAGTAAGGCACTTTCTTTGCTTATTTGTCATCAACTATGTACAGATGTGTCACTTTTTTAGTGATATATTATATTTTCTGGTTTGAAATAAATATCTGACTATTTTTTTCTTCTTTCAAAACATGTACATATAATATGTAGAAAATGCTAATAGCCTATATTAGTGTACATTCAAGGGTGGTGGGAAGAATGGACAAGCTATGTATCAAACCCAACCTTTGGTATTGTTTGCGTGAAGTGGCTGCCCTCAGATTATAATATGTAGTCCAAGCATTTATCATTCCACAAAGCAATTTTCCATATATGTGGTTTCTACGTATGTGTATATACAAATAGTGTAAAAGCATACATACCTGTATACAAGCAGTGTAAAAACATACATGAATGAAATGGTAGGTCTATCCCAGAACTTCCAGAATTCATGTCAAATTGAATATAGATTGAGCTGCGATCACTGTAGGTATTAATCACACTTAAAATGTGTGGTCTAAATGTTTATTATCACAGGTTTTTTAGTAATTAATCATACTTAAAAGATATGATCTAAATGTTATTAATCACACTTAAAAAATGTGATCTAAATGTTATTAATCACACTTAAAAGATGTGATCCAAATGTTTATTGTCACAGGTTTTATTAGTTTTAATCACACTTAAAAGGTATGATCTAAATGTTATTAATCACACTTAAAAAATGTGATCTAAATGTTATTAATCACACTTAAAAAGTGTGATTAAAAACGATCCTTTTTAATCACACTCTCAAAGATCACGCTTTGAAAAAACTTAAAAAGTGTGATTAAATAATATAGATCACACAAAAAAAGTGTGATCTTTACCTGTTTTTGTAGTAGTGCATTCTTATAGCAACAAAGTAGTTTTAGGAGGTAATGTTATTTTGCTGATTTATTTGATTGATAGCGTACTGTTGATGGAATTGCTCATGGTGTGATCTCTTTGACCAGGAGAATCAGTGACATAAATGGGATGGCTCAGGAATTTCCTACCTTGAGCAACACTACAGGGCTAGTAAGATTGTATGTTTGATGATTATATAATTTATAATGTTCAATATTTATAGTGTGTACAGGTGAGTTTCATCCTGAGTTTAATTTTATTCATTTTTTTCGTATTTAGGGTTTTGAGAAACTGCAACATGTCTGGTGAAATCCCGAAATATATTTGGAAAATGATGAATCTGCAAATGTTGCAAGTAAAGCATGTTAAGCTTTGGTGAATGATTTTTATTTGACCTTCAGTGTTTTCATCAATGTATAATTGATTACACGACCAATGCGATTTAATTTTCCATCATGTTATTGTTATTGCTGTTAGTTTTTTTCACTGTCAAGGCATGAAAAGGACAAATCACAGCTCATTTATATGATAGTGCTTATTGAATTTTGTTCACAAATAGTATATAATTTTTGATCATCATGCAGGTGGATTCTGTAGTTTACCTTGTTGACGCGTACGACAAAGAGAGATTTGCAGAGGCTAAAAAGGAGTTGGATGCTCTACATAAAAAAGAGCAACAATACTCAACCTTGTTAACACCAGATGCTCTTTTTTTTTGAAATTGATGCTGATTATGTTAAATTTTTGTTAGAATGAATTGTTTTTTGTTTTTTGGGGTTTAGAATAGGGTTTTGTGAATTGTTCCTTGTTTTTGGAATCAATGTTGTTGCTGCTGAGTTATGTGCTGAAACTTGGATGTAGAAAATTTTATAATAAGACTTGTTTTGATTATGAATTCATCCTATTTTGATTATGAATTCGCTAAATATTACAGGTGTATTGTTTTCCTACTTTGACGACCAATTTATTAGTTGCGACATCCAAAATAATTTTTTTTCGCAAAAAATGACAATTGCCGACCAAAAGTTTTTGTCGCAAAAAATACATCTATTGCCAACCAAAACAATTTTGGTCGTGGAAACTCACTTTTGCCGACCAAAAATTTTGGTTGCGAAAAGTAACAAATGGCGACCAAATTTTTTGGTCGCGAAATGTGATAATTGGCGACCAAACTTTTTTGGTCGCGAAATGTGACAATTGGCGACTAAGAAATTTGGTCGGGAAAATATCACTTTTCGCAACCAAAGTGTTTTAGCGACAAAATAAATTAGTCGCGGTAATTAAATATTTAGCGACCAAAAATTTAGTCGGCAAATCCAACTTTTGCCGACCAACCAAAATTTTGGTCGTGAATTACTTTTGCCGACCCTCAATTGGCGACAAAAGTAGCGACCAAAAAAATTGGTCGCGAATAACTTTTGCGAACCAAAAATTGACTTTTAGCGACCAATTTTTTTGTTGCCAAAAGTGTTAATTCTTGTAGTGACTATATTGTTGTTAAAGGGTAAAGGCTAGTAATAAAGTTTGGGTTTTATTAAAAGTCTGGGTATAATTAAAGGAGTTTAGTTTGGTTTGGATGGACCTGTTATCAACCAACAATAGTTTGCCGACGATACATTGATATCTTCTGATGTAGATTCAGATGAGATTCGATGTATCATAAGAATTTTTAGATGTTTTGAGATGATATCAGGGTTGAAGATCAATTTTCACAAAACCACTACTTGTGGAGTGGAAATTTCGGAATAAATGATTCGGGATTGTGCATCAGTTTTACGGTGTAAACACCACCACTCCCTTTCAAGTACTTGGGTTGTTATATATTATTTAATAATAATAATAATTTTTATGTTTTTATTTCAATTCATTTCTTGGATCTCATATTGGAATATATAGAAATCTCTACACTTTCACTTTGGAAGGAATTTAATATTTCGTTTTCCCTCTATGCAATTAGAATTCAAATTTTTAGCTTAATTCCTACATTGAAATCTTGAGCAAATTAATATGCTCTCTCATCTACTATAAATGGAGGAAGGACTTTCCATATTCCTTAAAGTTTCCATTGAAGGTTTTCTTTTGAAGATATCCATCATATGGAACTTTTAATTCTTTTGATATATATATATATATATACTATAGTGAAAATTTGGTGCTATGTACGGTAAAAAATATTTGAAGTCATTAAATAAAAAAAATAAAAAAAAAGTTGTGCTTTATACTTATAATATTTGTTAGTTATTATTTTAAATTTTAAATTTAAAAAGCGTAACTTTCCATTTTAAAATTTTTTTCATTACGATTATGATATTCATCAATTGAGTAGGTTTGTTAAGATATTGGCTTTTTTAGTAGCATTTTAGCTAAAATGTGAGATGAAAAAAAATTAAAGTGTTAGCTAGTTTTGAAGTGTGTCTACCTTAAAAAATTTCAAATTATAATTATGTTATAGTTATTAGTAAACTTTTATATAAATGTTTCTTATCCTAAGTTTAGTTATTGATAAATTATCTTATTTAGTTATCAAATCTCGTGAGTTGCTTAGCTTGTGTATTATTTATTTTTAATTCATAGATAATGTTTTTAAAATCAAAATAAAAAATATGTATATTTTTTTTACATTTATTAATTTGTTAAACTTTAAATAAAAATTTGGGTAAAATTCATTTTACCTCTGTGGTATGGTTTGATAGAATTTTACCCCCTACCTTGTAAAAACAGTGATATACCTCCTATGCGAATTTAGAGTAAAATGCAACTATTAACACTGTTAACTATAGATGGTTAGGCCTCTCTTTGGGTCGGCCGGCCGCCGCCTTTGGCTATGGCAATCGGCTGGGCTAGCTTCTTCTGTGTTTGTCTATTGTTTTTCCTTCAATAAACTTGATTCCCCCATTATTTTCCCACCTAGGAGTGTTTTGTGTGCTGCGGTAGATGTTATTTGTCGGTGATTCTAGGCCGTTATAGCTGATTCTTTAGGGGTAGTGGTGTGTTGTTTTCAGCAGGGGACGTCCAGGATCTTCACTCAAGCGCTCTTTTGGGAGTAGGAGCTTGAGGGGTGAACTCTGGTTCAGATTATTGGAGAAGTATCGATGCTTTGTTTGGGCAAAAACATGGGTGTCGGAGTCGATCCAGATCTGTCTGGTTTTCATTCGAGCGCTCCTCTTCGTGTGAGAGTTTGAGGGGTGAAAGAAGACGAACTGGAGAAGGAAGAATAACTGCTGGTTGGTCGGTGTTTGGATCTGCAGTGGGTGGTGTCCCAGTGGTTGGTGTCCCAGCGGTTGGTCGGGTCAGCATAGGTGTGGGTTCGAGAGTTGCAACAGCTGTGGCGTGGTGTGGTTTTTGGCAGTGAGTAAGAAGAACTGTTGGGAGATGATCTGTGGGTGAGATAATGTTGGGAGATAATATTGTAGCAGCTCTGGCGTGGGTGATGATCTGCAATGTCAGTGGGTGATGATCTGCAGTGGGTGTCTTCAGCAGATAATGTTGGAGTTGCCATGTCAAGGTCCAGCATTGGCGTGGGAGTTTTTTCGGTGTTGTTTGTGGAGTCTTCTCGGCCAGACTAGCAGCATAAGGGTGGGTATTGGGAGTTGCAGCAACATAGGTATGGGCAGCAGCTCTGGCGTAGTTGGTGTGGACAGTGGGAGTTGGGAGTTGCAGCAGCTTAGGGGTGGCATAGGCAGCAGCATAGGTGTGGATGGTGAGGGCTTTGGGAGTTGTAGCAGCAGTGGCATAGGTCTTGGTGTGTGGGTTGTTGAATCGATTTCAGTTGATTTGGTGGGTTAATTTGGTGGGGTTTCATGTATTTTGTTTTATAGTTAAGTCCTTCTTAACTTTTTTTTTTTTTTTAAAAAAATCGTGAGGCCAAGGGATTGGTTGTACGGATGCGAGTAGCAGTAGTAGGGGTATTTTTGTACTTTCCGAATCTCTCTCGATGCATGTCATCTTCATGTACCTTTAATTTCATGCTGTTAAATGAAAATTTTCTTTGCTGATAAAAAAAAACTATAGATGGTCAGAATGTCTTGGGTGAAAGTCTCGAAAATTGAATGAATACATGGGTGCCGATCCCGCGGACGAAATTTTCATGAAATGGCAATGATAGTGCTTGTATAGCCTACGTTTACATGGGTTTCTGTTTACGATTTCCTTTCGACAAAATATCCAGGAAATGTTATATAATTTTGAAATTCTCAAAGTGTGAATCACCAACGTATTTTCTATTGAAATGGAAATGATTATGAATCAAGGTATTAACTTGGTATTGCATAGTTTTGAAAAGGGATATAAATATGTTTTGGCAAGAACATGGTGTATGCATTCTCCTTATAGCTTTGTTAAGATTCATACACTGTGTTGGATTATTTCTATTGGGTTTTGGCTCACCCTATGTGAGAAAAATATTCCAGGTGCTGATGACATGCCTCCACCAAGGTAGTAGTTTGGAAGGATTTAGAGCAAAAGCTTCTTTTGTTGTATTTATTTTTGTATAACCAAGGACTTTAAATATATTGGACCTAAAGTCCACTTTTGTTGTAACCAAGAACTATCTTAGAAAATTGTAAGCCTTTAAGGCATTTCTTATCTGTTTAACTTCCACTCTTTCTTATATTTGTAACATATGCTATAGATTCATAGCTAGGCATATTGAATATATACTGCAAATGTTTCTCTTTTGTAAATCATATTGGATTTAATGGAAGGTAATTGTGTTAGTATTGTTGTCATTTATTAATATTGTGGATGGTTTATGGTAATTATTTCAGGGCGTTATAGTAATTTACTAGGAATTTACTTAGAAGTTATTGCGTAATTTACAGAGGAATTTACTAAGAAACCTACTGGGAATTTACTGAGTAATTTACAGAGAATTTACTGAGTTATTAAGTGAGAATTTACTCAGAATTACTGAGTAATTTGCTGAGTAACTAATTGAGAATCTACTGAGTAATTTATTGAGAATTTGTTGTGAATTTACAGAGTAAATTATTGAGAATTTACAGAGTGTAGACATCCCCGAACGCCCCGGGAGGATGAGTCCCGTTCTGTTCGTATTGGGCTCACTACAGTTCAGGACTCTCAAGTTGTCACGGTTCTCAATCTGAACCAAAGAGTCCAAATCTGGCAAATCGTTTTGAGAAAACAGATTTTGAAAGAAGTGCCAAACATGGACTAGTGCCAAACAGATTTTGAAAGAAAAAAAGTGAAAATGGTTTGATGGTGCTACTCGCAAGTAGGCTAAGACGTGGATTTGTCACCCTCGGTGGGCTTAGAAAAACATGATTTTGCCACTATCTAGTGGGCTTAAAACACACATTTGATGAATTGTTCCAATTCAAATAACCCAACCTTCACCTACAGGCATTCAGACAGTTATATCACATAAGCATATAGCCTCATGGTAAGCATGCTATTCATGGCAGTCACTCACACGCATGCAAGGATGCTAAAGCATAAAACTTACCGAGTACTCCAAGCCAAAA